GATCGGTGCTGTTAGCTACACTTGCTCGACAGGGTATGTCCCAGAATTTTGTAAACATAATCCGGTCCCTATATTCACACACTTCTGGTTGGGTGAGTGTATGGTGAGCTCTCCAAAAGCTTCCCTACGAAAAGTGGTGTCAGACAAGAGTGTCCACTCTCTCCATTGTTGTTTGTAACCAATCCGATCCTTATATTCACATACTTCTGGGCGGGTGAGTGTATGGTGAGCTCTCCAAACGCTTTCTCACGAAAAGTGGTGTCGGGTTCAACTTCGTCAATGATGAAATAATGAGGCGAACACTGGACGGTCTTCAAAACTCCGGTGTTCAAATTGTTGCTGGTGAGAGCCTTGTCGATTTAGAGTACACAGATGATATCGCTCTCATCTTTGAAGATCAAAGCGAAGCACAAGCTCTGTTGAATAAACTGACCACCATCATGCCATCTTTTGGCATGCGCCTCACGCCTTCAAAGTGCAAAGTCATGCTTCAAAACGTGCCATCTACGAACATATCCCTTACAATTCAAAGAGAAACACTGGAGATTGTGGAAAACTCTACATACCTCGGTAGTTGTATTAGCTCTGACGGAAGTGTGTCCGATGAAGTCAATGCAAGAATCTCATAGGCTCGTATCACGTTTGCCAAAACCAGACACGCTTCTCATATATCGGTGGTCGAAAACCTGAAGACGCCTCACATCAACTGTCCGCAGAGGCCATGTCTCGCACCCATACAACAACACAGCCCTTACTGTAGCCTGGTACACACGACCCTTAAGATCCAGTGAAATGCCGTCTTAACGCAACACATCTGTGGCGAGTACTCTTTTTGAAAATGGGCACCACTATCGATTCACCCCAGTTGTTCGGGGCGGCCTCCTTCTCCCAGATAGACCCAAATAGGCTAGACATGCATTGGCTGAGGATTCCACTGCCATCCTTGAAAAGTGCAGATGGAAGGTCGTCAGGACCAGCAACACGATTACGCTTAAGTAGAGAAATACATTCAGACACTTCTGAGGCTGAAGACGGCTTCATATTTACGGTCCACCTTTCTGATGAAGTCCAGGTTTCTGGATTGGGGGTAGCAGGCGGCCAGCTGAATTGCTGTTCGAAGCGGTCTGCTTTGCTGCATATCAGGGAGCCATTTTGGTCTCTGATTATTTCGCTGACAACAGGTTTCCAAGGACCAGTCGAATGAATCAAGTGGAACAATTTGCGCACGTTTCCAGTATACTTTGCATCTTCCATTTCTTCAGCCTTCCGGGTTCATCAAGCTCCTCGGTCTGCATGGATACTCGGTTTCACTTGGCGTCATGTGATGCGCCGGGTGGAGTTGTCGTGGCGGCCAGGTCGAATCTGTCGCCGGGTCCCCAGCGAAGACACGGCCCTATCAAAGATCCACTGCTTGGATGAGGTTGGCTGGATTGTACCGCAAACAGACATCCCGGTTTTGAGTGGCACTTTGGATATTTTTTCCGGTGACCGTACCGTCCGGCAGACACTCGAGGAGCTGGTTCTGATACCTTTATGTGATTTCCCAGCTCACTAGCTTCTCAATGGCTAAGCGAGGTGTGCGCGTTTCGCGTACACCTGAAAAACGCAATGAAAAGCAGCAGCGTACAAGTGCTTGTCCGGATTCCACGCTGGTGTTCCAGAAGGAGCGGCAGGCGGTGATCGACCCTTGCCATCGGAAACGAACAGTCTGTGACCGGAACACATCTCAAGCGGTCTCCATTGTCCGTCCGTCTCGTGTCCAAACCAAGACAACCACTCAATCGGGCCTCAGCAGTGCTTAGTCTACCTACCTGGGCGTTCATATCACTAGCAGCCCCAACGATATCTGAGCCTTTAGCTTGCTGTAGAAGGACACTCAGAACGTCATAGAAACTGTCCTTGGCAGATTCAGAGCTATAGTCAGTTGGGGGCGTAAGCAGACACAATAAACAGGGTGCGGTGAACCTCGCTTCCTCTGGGGTCTCTCACAGACGTTGCCAAATGAACCACACAGAGGCGACTATCAACGGGTATCCAACCAAGCAGAGACGCTTCCGCTCGTTCGCTCAATGCAATACCCACCCCAGCATATCCAGTCGCAGCGGCCAATGATTAACCAGAGGTGCGCAGCCGGAACCTGGAAGAGAGCGATGGGCAGTCAGTTCGAACACTGTACTTGCGTCCTGCGTCGTTGTTTCTGACAGGCAACATACATCAATACAGAGAGAATCCAGCGTACGTGCAAGAGCCACCTATTGAGCTGCTTGCTTCAGTGTGGGAACATTGAAGGTAGCAACGACCCACACTCCTGGTGCTTCATTGACTTCAAGGGTGCGTTTCATTCTGTTGATCGATCGGTGCTGTTAGCTACACTTGCTCGACAGGGTATGTCCCAGAATTTTGTAAACATAATCCGGTCCCTATATTCACACACTTCTGGTTGGGTGAGTGTATGGTGAGCTCTCCAAAAGCTTCCCTACGAAAAGTGGTGTCAGACAAGAGTATCCACTCTCTCCATTGTTGTTTGTAACCAATCCGATCCTTATATTCACATACTTCTGGGCGGGTGAGTGTATGGTGAGCTCTCCAAACGCTTTCTCACGAAAAGTGGTGTCGGGTTCAACTTCGTCAATGATGAAATAATGAGGCGAACACTGGACGGTCTTCAAAACTCCGGTGTTCAAATTGTTGCTGGTGAGAGCCTTGTCGATTTAGAGTACACAGATGATATCGCTCTCATCTTTGAAGATCAAAGCGAAGCACAAGCTCTGTTGAATAAACTGACCACCATCATGCCATCTTTTGGCATGCGCCTCACGCCTTCAAAGTGCAAAGTCATGCTTCAAAACGTGCCATCTACGAACATATCCCTTACAATTCAAAGAGAAACACTGGAGATTGTGGAAAACTCTACATACCTCGGTAGTTGTATTAGCTCTGACGGAAGTGTGTCCGATGAAGTCAATGCAAGAATCTCATAGGCTCGTATCACGTTTGCCAAAACCAGACACGCTTCTCATATATCGGTGGTCGAAAACCTGAAGACGCCTCACATCAACTGTCCGCAGAGGCCATGTCTCGCACCCATACAACAACACAGCCCTTACTGTAGCCTGGTACACACGACCCTTAAGATCCAGTGAAATGCCGTCTTAACGCAACACATCTGTGGCGAGTACTCTTTTTGAAAATGGGCACCACTATCGATTCACCCCAGTTGTTCGGGGCGGCCTCCTTCTCCCAGATAGACCCAAATAGGCTAGACATGCATTGGCTGAGGATTCCACTGCCATCCTTGAAAAGTGCAGATGGAAGGTCGTCAGGACCAGCAACACGATTACGCTTAAGTAGAGAAATACATTCAGACACTTCTGAGGCTGAAGACGGCTTCATATTTACGGTCCACCTTTCTGATGAAGTCCAGGTTTCTGGATTGGGGGTAGCAGGCGGCCAGCTGAATTGCTGTTCGAAGCGGTCTGCTTTGCTGCATATCAGGGAGCCATTTTGGTCTCTGATTATTTCGCTGACAACAGGTTTCCAAGGACCAGTCGAATGAATCAAGTGGAACAATTTGCGCACGTTTCCAGTATACTTTGCATCTTCCATTTCTTCAGCCTTCCGGGTTCATCAAGCTCCTCGGTCTGCATGGATACTCGGTTTCACTTGGCGTCATGTGATGCGCCGGGTGGAGTTGTCGTGGCGGCCAGGTCGAATCTGTCGCCGGGTCCCCAGCGAAGACACGGCCCTATCAAAGATCCACTGCTTGGATGAGGTTGGCTGGATTGTACCGCAAACAGACATCCCGGTTTTGAGTGGCACTTTGGATATTTTTTCCGGTGACCGTACCGTCCGGCAGACACTCGAGGAGCTGGTTCTGATACCTTTATGTGATTTCCCAGCTCACTAGCTTCTCAATGGCTAAGCGAGGTGTGCGCGTTTCGCGTACACCTGAAAAACGCAATGAAAAGCAGCAGCGTACAAGTGCTTGTCCGGATTCCACGCTGGTGTTCCAGAAGGAGCGGCAGGTGGTGATCGACCCTTGCCACCGATAACTGACGGTGATGCAGTCTATTTGGATTCGGGGCTGGTTTGTTGGTGGGCACCACGTTGTCAAGCGATTTCCGCTGTTCCGGAAATTCGTACTGGAAACGAACAGTCTGTGACCGGAACACATCTCAAGCGGTCTCCATTGTCCGTCCGTCTCGTGTCCAAACCAAGACAACCACTCAATCGGGCCTCAGCAGTGCTTAGTCTACCTACCTGGGCGTTCATATCACTAGCAGCCCCAACGATATCTGAGCCTTTAGCTTGCTGTAGAAGGACACTCAGAACGTCATAGAAACTGTCCTTGGCAGATTCAGAGCTATAGTCAGTTGGGGGCGTAAGCAGACACAATAAACAGGGTGCGGTGAACCTCGCTTCCTCTGGGGTCTCTCACAGACGTTGCCAAATGAACCACACAGAGGCGACTATCAACGGGTATCCAACCAAGCAGAGACGCTTCCGCTCGTTCGCTCAATGCAATACCCACCCCAGCATATCCAGTCGCAGCGGCCAATGATTAACCAGAGGTGCGCAGCCGGAACCTGGAAGAGAGCGATGGGCAGTCAGTTCGAACACTGTACTTGCGTCCTGCGTCGTTGTTTCTGACAGGCAACATACATCAATACAGAGAGAATCCAGCGTACGTGCAAGAGCCACCTATTGAGCTGCTTGCTTCAGTGTGGGAACATTGAAGGTGGCTAAGTAGACAGGTTTTCGGGGTTTGAAAACAGACTTCGAAGTGCTTAGGGTTGTAACTGAACTCGCACGTGCGGAAGCTGCAACCGATGCAGGGCGAGCGAAACGGTCAGTCCTAGGGCTGGGACCTGTGGAGAAAGTATTCAAATTTGAGTGGGGGAGAGTGAAAGACGGAAACGTAGAAGTATAAGAAGAGAGGCGTCAGCAGTAGCCTATTTTCGCCTACCCGCCCTGCTGTATGCAGCAAGTAAGGCGACCCGGCTGATGGCACCACGCGACGGCCGATGTGGCATGAGAGTATTGTTAGTTGTGTATGTCATGGTTTTACGAAGGGTGGGATACTGCCAGGGCGCCCACACCTAGACAGGAAGACGATTATGGTCCTCAACCAAAGCATCTGGCTCAAAAGCCTAGCGGTGTTCGGCTGGAAATGCAAGTGCATCACCACGTTTTATGGAACACATCGCCATACATGTCCCAACCCCCAACTTGGAGGGCCAGGAGACTGTGTTCGTCAGATATCTACCCATGCACCAAGCCGGTATGAGACTCTGTGAGTGTCGTGCGGACACCTCCCAGTATAGCTCAATGGGTCGCCGAGGTACATAAACTGCCACACCACGGTAAGGTCCAGTCTCTTCATGACGGAAGCTTAATGTGGAAGTCCCTGACTAAATTCACCATTCATGACAAAGGAGGCCCTATGAGACGCACATACGACTTGAGTGTTGCGTATTACACTTGTTAGCAATAAAACATTTTGAGTAGTCCTTTTCTACCATGAATACCTCTTTCGTATGATCAAATGCCTTCCACGAACGCCATTATACACGTCGCCGATATCACCAACACAAATGAGATGACAACTTTTTCATCCTGTCTATCCCCGTTGGAGAAAAAATAGTGTACCCTGGATCGAAAGTTTGTCGTTAATAGTCAATGGATACAGTCGGTACGGTACATCTAAATCAACAAAGATGTTTGGAACCTGGTAAAAACCATTCATTAGGTAATAATCGATGCAGGAAATATCGGCCGGTATGAATGGCTAGATAGGTAACTAGGTATGCTTCTCATACTGAAATATACCTGGAAACCTGAAACAAAGCAAGAATACAATCAGATAAGAAATAAAAAGTAACCTTTGAAGAGAAATTCTTGAGCCTATCGAGTATTTAGACATTTCCCGCGTAACGCAAAATGGAAACCGAAAGACACCATTTGAGTTAGCCACTACCGTCTTCTGTCATGAAACTAATAGCGGTCCTTGAATTACTCTCAAATACCATAGTACTTAGTAGACAGAAAGGATACAAGGCAACACTAAACTTACCTCTCTGATCCTATCTGAACCTCTTCGAACAATTCGCACGTACCCAACGCACTATCGGACAAACCTTGTACGGTTGTCTGCACACTCCCTCCACAGGCCATTTGAGTTCGTGACAAGTCGTCCTCTGGAACTCGACCAGCACAGAACATATCGCGATCAGCGAAATATTGTGTGGCCACGTCACCAATCGGAAGTTTGGACAGTACAATCTTTACACCGCTCTTATGTAATATTTCCAATTTTTCATATAAGATTTTCCATTCTGCATCAACAACTTTCTGGTACTCCTCTACAGAGTGAACACGAACCTCCGCGTTTTCCTTCTCCGCTTTGAGTTCCAGTTCGATGTTGAGAAGTGCAATTTTCGGGTTTTTGTAACACTTAGGTTGCATCTCGAAACCAGCATAGCTGAAAGTCTTCTTGAAGGCTACTCCAGTAACTAGCATGGAGTCTTCGAGAGCCCCACCTGAAACCTGAAGACGAAAAGGAGACATGCAAAATAAAATAGGAGCGTATGAAGCCCAGTGAAACTTCATACGCTTAATACAGTCATCAAAGTGTGGTGTGTGGGCCAAAAAAGGACTGATGGAATAGGACGTTTATAACATCGGGAGAAAATTTAACAATCGAATGATAAAGTAAATGATATTGCACTTTTCCGTGGTGTGACGGTTTCCAGTAATATCGTGCCGGACAGAGTAGGTGGACGCAGCGAACCAGATGACGGTAGAAGCCGTAAATAAACGGAGATATTTGAAGACGACATGCATCACAAGTGTCCAGTAAACCGACCCTGAGAACATTCCGAAAACAATGTGGAGTTAAAACAGGTATACTATGGAAAGCTGAACCGAACGCCGTGTTTCCAACACCGCTGTTACCATCATTAACGCGATCGTCATCACCACCAGCAGAAGCACATATGGAGAAAATCGTACCGACATTAGTCGGTCCTCTACTACTACGTATCGATGTCGTACTAAAGTGAGAACGTGCCAACATACCTTTAAGCGACCTGGTTACATTGGTCTCTGTCAATCAAGGCAGTTACATGATGGATGTAGTAGTAATAGTGAGCAAGCAGTGCAGAAAAGAGGATTGATTAAACCGAATTCAGGAAACTCGTGTCCAGATGGAAGTGTGGAGAACAGAGCAAGAAGACAACTAAGAGGACGCTGTGATAGTTGCGAGAACACCCCGAAAAACCCCGGCGGATTGTTGAACTGAACTCCAAGAGAGTGACGTGGCCAAAATGAAATTTTACGGAAGGCTGGAGATGGCTAGGAGGTTATGGGGCGAAGCTACTGACTTGAAGGCCCGTACTTCGAAGTCGACCATGGGTTACAGTTCCAAGGCTGCGCTATCTGTTGAATGACACAAATTGGAAATCAGGGTCCATTTCTCGGGTGTTACATCCAGTGTGTAGAAATCCAGACGATAGCTGATTACGGAAATGTCTCAACTGCCTGGCAAGAAGTTCGTTCTATTCTAGCTCCAAGTAAGGAATAAGACATGGGTGGTGAGGAACAGACGGCAGGCGACGCGACAGAACACTGGGATCCTAAAGAGCCCATCACAACCATCACGACTCATCTTTGCGGACGGTCTGGAAGAAAAAGCATTAGGCCAGTGGCTTTTCGAAAATATTGTCTCCCTGTTGGGAGACATTTTCCCTGTTGTAGTCAGCTGAGCCACGGCGCCCTTTCTTCCACTGGTTCATCTGCAATATGGCCGACATTTCTTTTTCCTCGAGGTCTTTTTCATCCAAGTAACTAGACTATCAACGTGATAAAATAAATTCCGTGACGATCCTAAATTACCCAGTCAGTAGCTCACAGATGCAACACTTCCTATGGTTCCAAGACAACGGTTTTTGACGACCTGAAGACGTCTCGATTGGGGTGCTTGAAAATGGTTACGTATTACAATCATACAGCAAAAAGCCCATAGTTAATGTTAATAAACATTCTGCGGAAATACGGGAATATGCCGCTCTGATCCTTCAAATCAGCAAACGCGATGCGACCTGTCAACTGACATCACGCTACATCAAAATCAAAAATAGTACAACTCCTAAGATACGTAAAACGCTTCGTAAATTCAAGTGTTCCTCCTTGGGTTGTAAGCTGCATGTTCTGAAGCATGACCTTGCACCAGGTGGGTAGAAAGTACATACTACAGGACGGGATAACTTTGGCCAGTCCATCCAGAAATATCTGCCCCTTCTCTTTCGAAGGCTAGAGCGGTATCGTCTGCACACTCAAGGTCAACAAGATTTTCATCAGAAGCCATTTGAACACCGGGATTTTGAAGACCTTCCAGCATTCGTCCCATCATCTCGTGCACTACGAAATTAAACAGAAATGCAGAGGGTTGGGACCCTTGAGGGATACTACTGTGTGTACAGACGCTTTTGGAGAGCTATTCGTAGTCTCACGCCCGGAAGTCTGAGAACACAAGATAAACAGCCCGGTCAACAGGGTCGAATGCTCCTTGGAAATCGAGGAATGCTAAACTTTTGGAATTGGAAATCAGGGTCCATTTCTCGGGTGTTACATCCAGTGTGTAGAAATCCAGACGATAGCTGATTACGGAAATGTCTCAACTGCCTGGCAAGAAGTTCGTTCTATTCTAGCTCCAAGTAAGGAATAAGACATGGGTGGTGAGGAACAGACGGCAGGCGACGCGACAGAACACTGGGATCCTAAAGAGCCCATCACAACCATCACGACTCATCTTTGCGGACGGTCTGGAAGAAAAAGCATTAGGCCAGTGGCTTTTCGAAAATATTGTCTCCCTGTTGGGAGACATTTTCCCTGTTGTAGTCAGCTGAGCCACGGCGCCCTTTCTTCCACTGGTTCATCTGCAATATGGCCGACATTTCTTTTTCCTCGAGGTCTTTTTCATCCAAGTAACTAGACTATCAACGTGATAAAATAAATTCCGTGACGATCCTAAATTACCCAGTCAGTAGCTCACAGATGCAACACTTCCTATGGTTCCAAGACAACGGTTTTTGACGACCTGAAGACGTCTCGATTGGGGTGCTTGAAAATGGTTACGTATTACAATCATACAGCAAAAAGCCCATAGTTAATGTTAATAAACATTCTGCGGAAATACGGGAATATGCCGCTCTGATCCTTCAAATCAGCAAACGCGATGCGACCTGTCAACTGACATCACGCTACATCAAAATCAAAAATAGTACAACTCCTAAGATACGTAAAACGCTTCGTAAATTCAAGTGTTCCTCCTTGGGTTGTAAGCTGCATGTTCTGAAGCATGACCTTGCACCAGGTGGGTAGAAAGTACATACTACAGGACGGGATAACTTTGGCCAGTCCATCCAGAAATATCTGCCCCTTCTCTTTCGAAGGCTAGAGCGGTATCGTCTGCACACTCAAGGTCAACAAGATTTTCGTCAGAAGCCATTTGAACACCGGGATTTTGAAGACCTTCCAGCATTCGTCCCATCATCTCGTGCACTACGAAATTAAACAGAAATGCAGAGGGTTGGGACCCTTGAGGGATACTACTGTGTGTACAGACGCTTTTGGAGAGCTATTCGTAGTCTCACGCCCGGAAGTCTGAGAACACAAGATAAACAGCCCGGTCAACAGGGTCGAATGCTCCTTGGAAATCGAGGAATGCTAAACTTTTGGGTTCTTTATGCGTTGACCGTTGGTTGGGTTGAACCAACTGGCTCGAACGGACCACCGATCTGCAACGCAGTCGTGAACAGTGAGCTTGGAAACCCCGACGATTCTGGAAATAAGCTAACGGCTTGTCGCCCAACCGTCACTAAGCCGCCGGTCCAGACAAACTCTCACCCTCGCCGTTCAACAAGGGAAAAGGAATTCTAAGTTGATACTTTTCTAAGTTATTTGACCCTAACTGGAGAAAAGAGACCGTTCCAACTGATTAAGGTAAGTCGTTAGTGATGACCAGTTTCAGAAAGGGTGGCCGTGGTGAATGTGGCAGAGGAATTGGCACCATGCTGCAAACTTACTCTTTGCATCGTTCACCTTACTTCGTCTTACGAAAGCGGGACCCTAGAACAACAAGCAGGATTTGGGTATGGAAAGCGATACGTGGACCACACCTTCACACTATGTCAAGTGTTAGAGTAAGACATACATATAGACGCCCTAGTGTTGGTGCACCTGGACTTCAACAGTGCGCTCGATTCCGTCAACCGGTGAGTTTATTCAGCACGCTTGTGCAGCAATATCTGCCCCAGAAGTTCGCAAACATCATGCGCCGTTTGTATTCACATACTTGTGGATGCGTGAGTGTATTTGGAACTCTCCCAGGCTTTCCCACAAGCAGTGGTGTCCGATAAAGATTTCGGACCTCTCCATTTTCGCTTGATTTCGCTATTGATGAGATAATGAGGTGGACACTGGGTCTCCAAAACCCCGGTAGTCCGATATTTTCGAGCGAGGTTGTTGAAATGGAGTACGCAGACGACATTGTGTTCACTTTTGCTGAAGAGTAGGAAGCGAAAACGTAGTTTCTGATTATGCTTCTGGGAATTTAAGGAGTCACGTGCTACGCACACCACAAGGTGCTGATTTCTGTGGCTTATTCAGAGTGGCGGAAACCTAGAGGTGGATCAAAGTAAACATGGCAGAAGAAAATGGTGTTACGAAATGTTTGTGTTGCTGGTGCTGGGGGCTTGGTTGGCAGTTAATAGCTGTTGTCGGCGTTCACGCTATCAGTTTCCATCCAGATAGTCTGACTGAGCGCTGGAGATGTGGGCACCTCGGATATTTGTTGTAGGCCATCCTCAAGTCTCCTCTGTTTCATTTTTTCTCTTTGCACTACAAGGCTTTAGTAGAACAAACTGATATGGTTTTACGGCAGTGAAACACCGGCATTCACACTTGGTGTTGCCATCGATTATGCTTACAAGGGGTAGCAAAGGAAACTACGCGTGTGAGTATGAATTTTACAACTTTTGTCAAGATATTGTGCCAATGGAGGGACAAAAAGGGCTTGCCGTGATTGGAATAAAAATCCGGAAATGTGATCCAGACCGTGGAATTCGGTATGTTGCCGAACCTTCCAGACCGTAGCGACGATTATGGCTAAGTGAGTAGAGGTCACAAGGAATAGAGAAGTATTCAGGCGTGTTGGACAAATTTAGGCTTCACTGTGTCCGAATCATGGAGGAGAGATGGGAAACTGTGACTGGTCGCTCTTATGATGCTCAATAAGGATCTAATCGTAGCGAGCCTAACGGACGGCTGACCAGATTTACGACCGTTGGAAATAACTTAGACCTTGTCGCCGGTGGCACTTTAGGAAGTACGAGCATTGACATAGTCTTAACATGATTATATATTTGGCTCTTTTTCACTCACCGCACGCGACAAGCCAGGTTCGTAAGTTCTTGAGAAGTGGGGGTGACTTGAAGAGTTCGGGCATCACCATCGATATCACAATTCCAATGTTCAACACTGTTGCTTCACTACACTAGAGAGCACCCAGAACACTGACAGTAGGAAAAACGCAAGTTCCCAGATGCAACCAGACGACTAAGGCACCCCCTCCCAACCCACTGGAGTAGCACCGAGAGGAACCTCAAACGATTGAAGTTGATGTATTGCAATCAGAGCCGAGTAAGCTAATGACGGAGTCAAAATGCGAAAAATAGATCACTAGTTTGAGTCAATATTGCGCTCCGAGGTCTAGTTGAGAAGGAAGCGACTAGGAAATAAGAAATCGATGAGTAAAGAAAAGTAGACACCACAGCCGACGGGTCGATACCACCATCAGAGCTCCGTACATTGAAAGTGCCTATAACGAAGAGTTCAGTCGTCAGGTTTGATCGCCAAAGTAAGCCGTCGTCCCGTGGTGAAAAACTCGAGGTACGCTATAGTTACTTGAAGAATTACGAACACGATAAAACTGCTTAACCCGTGAAAGACTGTGGAGATGGAAAACGAGGAACGGGTATGGGCACGAGCACCTGTAGAAAAAGCAGTGGTGCACAGAAAACCCAGGAATCGTGTAAAGTCTTTCTTAGAAATGGAGCACATAAGGTTTTGTGTTTGTGCTTGACTGACAGATGAGGTTGGTAACTCGATCCAACGGATTGGTGTCAAATCACAAGGGCGTCATAGCTCGAGTAGTCGCAACTCCCCCAGATATCAACGTTACATGCCTACCATTGGCCCGGTGCAGCGGTCAGTGTTACTAAGGAAATATAAATCAGCACCACAAACGCCTATAAGCATGAATACCGTTACGTGGTTATGGTCAAACAAGTAAACACAGTTGCATTTAACACTACCACATCCACCTCGGGTGTAGAATGGGGATATTAGATAGGTCATCACAAGAGTAATAATGCAATGGCGGAAACTGGGGTCAAAAATGATAACATAGGCTCTGACCTTTTTAATCCCAATCATCTTGAGAGGAAGATACGAGTCCAGCTGGCTAACCGCATCAACAGTTAATTTGGCAAAGAAGTCTTTGTGGCCAGCGACCAATTTTGAACTCAGGGCAGTGGCAGCGCACTTCTCCAGCAACGCTCGCTGGTCACTGGAACGGAAAGAAAGCAGTTAGGCGTGCGAAATAAGTACCCGCACATTGATGAAAACAGTATTAATTTAGTTAAACCCACCTTGGATCGACACTTTTAATGCGACAGGCCAGCTCGCTAAGCTTCTTCAGTGCCATCTGTTCGGCCATCCTAAATGCACGAATAATCACCGTGGGGTGTACCCCTTCCTCCAAGAAAGGTTTCGCTTGCTTCAGAAATTCCGTTGCCAGAACAACCACGCTCGTGGTACCATCACCTACTTCAGCGTCTTGCGCCCGAGCTATGTCTACAAGGGTTTTCGCTGCAGGGTGCACAATGTCCAAGAGCTTCAGAATGGTTGCCCCATCGTTGGAAATTGTTGTCTTCCCATTGTCAGCTATTATCATTTTGTCCATCCCCCGTGGGCCAAGTGTTGAGCGAACAGCATCTGCGACAGCCTCGCATGCGGTAATATTACTGATTATTTGCGGAACTCCCTGAGAAGTATCAGTCCCCTCCTTCAATAGTATAATCCGAGCGGGTTGCTAGACAAATGAAAGAATGAACTATGCAGTTCTCGCGAGATATTGATATGAATATTATGGAGAAAACAGACGCAACCAAAACTCACGAGCATGGCAACGCAGAAATCCGACTTTCGCGCGCAACCGAAGGGTTCTACGGGCGCTTCTAATCAATCCAGTTCAAGATTGCGAACTTTTTCCTAGACTGTTGAGGTTCTACTTCGCGGACAGCTAGTATAGAGAAAAAAGCCAGTATCGTCCTGAGGGCATTTTTGTCTGCCTCCGAATAGAGCGGATATTATTACGTGCATCCGACCCGACCACAAGATTTAAAGCTGTGGATCCAAATTCGCAGCTTCCCTTGTGGTAATTTGTACATTTATTTTGCTCCCATTATAACATCATGTATCTTATCAGTTGTATAACCGTCTTGTGTTTGAGTGCGGAAAACTACAAAAACGCGCCTTTGTACAATTTCACGCAATACAAAGGTGGTTACGTGCTCCGACTCTCTCTTCTGATTTCGCTCACGGTTACAGCGATCATTCGTGAATCTCATGTGCTAACTCTGGTAGAAAAACATTTCAGGTTATCTTCGGAATCCATTATTTGGGAAGACTGTTCAGAAGGAGACCCTTGGGCGTCCATGAATGGATTATTGTTTATTCGCTGACCCGGGCCAACGACGAACCATGTTGAATAAAACAGTTATTAGTGAATCTGTTCCATCTGACCTCTTTGTTATTGTATACTCAATCTTACGTTATAATTTTTATTTCTTTGCGACACACTCCTGGTAAAGTAAAGTACTGGGTAGCCAGACCACTACCCACTAAAGGGTATCGCGGGATACTTCTATCTTCCGTAGAGTAAAAGCTCTATGTCCATCCACAAAGGGTTGTGGAAATGTCGGTCCAATGGTGACTGTAAATGGATCGTACAGGTGAGACACTCAGCCGTCTGTGATGAACATGGTTGATGTTTATTGCTCCATTCATTATTCTCCTGCTTTGATATTCCACATGCTGTACATATACTGTCCATTCGAATACATATGTGCTACATGTTACGCTGCGCTGAATTCTGGATTTCTAGTTCGCCTGGTTATGCTGATATACGTGCGGACTTAATTCTTACACCGTTTTAGTGGAATTATGTAATGTACAGCGGGGCTATGTCGTTATATTTCCCAAATAACCGAGTACGTAAACATGACCAGTGACGATAAGTGGGGTGATAACGGAGAAAATTCAACCAAATTTCCGTTTTCTTTCCTTTTTTCGTGTAGTCAACGGGGTTCTGTGTGTACTGAACACGAATACTTTGCTAATTCTTAGTTCTGGAACGCAAAGGGTGACAAAATGGATCTTGTTTATTCGAGATCCGCGGATTGACGGGTTGCTGAACTGGATCGCTGATTTCTCCTAAGTTTCCCGGACCGGAATTTTTTCGTCGTTCAGTAGCTGCAATTCACCTGAAAAGCGTAAGTGAAAATAGGAATTATTTCCAAGTTTTTATCAAGCCAACGAATGGGAGTTCCTACAAGGCTCATCCAGCCACTGGCCACATTTTTCAGAATAGCTATATGTGGACCATTGTTCATTAGGGTCTCTTTTGGTTGGGCCCATGTTTAATGTCTGAGTGACTAGACTCCAACCACTATTGAGGCATTTAAAAACACGGAGCAAGTATTGGCCTCTCTTAACCTCTCTAGATAGTCTGCGCCTACCATCATAGCGTATTTGGATCTGGCAATATACCTACTTTAATGGGAACCTGACAGTATACTTACCAGACTCAAATATGGTTTTTGAGTGTTGGCTGAGGTGCGTGCCAGATCTGCTGAAACTATCGGTAGGAAGCCGTCAAAACATGCATTCACTCAGACGTCGAAGCTTCGAAGTTTGTACTCACCCCAGTGGCATGTTTTTTCAATCGGGTTCAGATGTTTGTGGTACGCTTTGTGATTCGCTTCCATATTTGAGACTCAGAAAATGTAGGTTTGTGGATTTCGAACCTTCTGTTTTTGCATGCGTATATTTTGTTAAAGTGAACTAACGTCCAGCACTAACAAACTAACATGAACCCTGCGCTCATATTATCGCCTGACTACGGTAGGGCATATAATTCATTGGTATTTTTAGCCATCTAGCAACACCTGTGAAAAAATCCATGATGGCACCCGGATAAACCGTGCGATGCCAGCCAGATGGATTGAGAAATTTCTGAACCGAGGGCCATGGTTTCTCACGGAATGGCGGTGCAGAGCGCCGTGTAATTTTAGGTTGTCCGCTGTGGCGCTGGAACTTTCGAGGTTACTGGGATCGGTGAATTTTTGTAGGATATGGTTGTCGTTTTCTGCAGCTCTAGTCGGTAATCTCTCAATGAAGGCAACTACCATCCTTTGCTAGATATATAAATGGATTTCTGGGCAGTATCGCGCACTTGGATACGTATGGTGCATGCAAGATTTTCTGCAAGGAGGGAGGCACTTGCTTAAAGCCAGTTATTCGCCAGGTGTCTTGTTTGCTTTGCTTGTCAGAACACCCTGGATGCTTTTTGCTGCGCCTGAGGTTCTTGTGTTGAGCCATCTCCGCGATCAACATGGCACTGCGACGATGTAGGCCGCGTTTGGTTAAGATTCACTGTTTCCTATGCTGCTCAAAACGCTGTTATCAACAACGAATAAAGCACCAATTTCTTGAACTGTAGAACATGACGATGGTGGATTCAGGAGGCTGGAAGGAGCTGTTGCGGTAAATGTTACGAGACGGGCCGCATTAGCCTCTTCTGACCTGGCGAAGAGCCGCTTTCGACAAAGAGCATCGCCCCGAAGTTTTCATTTAATGGTGTGCGGACTAGTTACTTTGCCCCACATTTGTGATAATGGGGATTCTAAAGGCACAAAACTTGCGCGTTTCTAAGTGGAATAAGAAAGTAGGTGGAACTAGGGACGGTTGAATTTTCTCGCAAAGTCCACAAATTCTGTGTTTACATGCGGTCCAATAGGAAATCTGACCAGCCGATAAGAGCTTCGCGGTGTCATCAAACATTGTTGTTTTAGCTGGGTAAACACGCATGATCCAGGCAGAAATATGTGGTGGCCCAATGCGCTCCGAAATATCAGCCTGTTTTCTGTATTTTCATTGTTAAATCAGCTCGTTATGGCCATTGAAGTCCTGTGATAACGGTAAGTCAAGCAATTTCAGCACTCAGATTTTCGGAAGTCTCCCCTTCAGGAAAACCAAAAAAGAACAGCGTTGCTGTTTGTCTGTAGCTGGATTGGCCTTGTTCCGGTCGTCACTTGTCCCACCACACCGAGAAATACAAGCAGACGACAGCCGTCCTCCCGTTTGTCATAAAAAAATTACAAAAAAAGAATAGTAAAAAAACCTTCATGTATGAGGTAGCCTGAGAGTACCTGTGAGGCTCATGGCTAACGTCGACGTGCAAGGTGTTGCCACTTTCGTCTTAGTGGGGTCACACCACCCCTCATTTCATCATCCAAACATACCACACATCTTCCCTCTTGTCATCCAGAGCGATAATATGCACAAAATGCTGATAACTTCTGATTTGTCTTGTTCCGTCGTCACTTGTCCCACCACACCGAGAAATACAAGCAGACGACAGCCGTCCTCCCGTTTGTCATAAAAAAATTACAAAAAAAGAATAGTAAAAAAACCTTCATGTATGAGGTAGCCTGAGAGTACCTGTGAGGCTCATGGCTAACGTCGACGTGCAAGGTGTTGCCACTTTCGTCTTAGTGGGGTCACACCACCCCTCATTTCATCATCCAAACATACCACACATCTTCCCTCTTGTCATCCAGAGCGATAATATGCACAAAATGCTGATAACTTCTGATTTCCTGATTACAAGCAGTCACAGCTAGCACTTAATGGCTGTTTTTTGCAATGCACCATTCGTTTTCTGGAGTTGACAGCGTTGACCCGGCGACTGGTGATCCTTAAGCTTACTTTCCTGTTACGTTGATTTAGTAGACCTTAGCTAAGCTATGATTCTTATCAATTATCTGGGAAGCTAATGCCTGTCCGCTTTTTACTTGTCCACTGTCACCGCTCACATTAACCCTGCTTTCTCCAAAACAAACACCTGATGTCATGACGCTTTGGCGAGCAAAATACCGTCCGTTCTCAACTAGTCCAACAGCTAGCCCCCTGCTAGCTGCCTCGACGACAAAGTTTTCACCTTCCTAAAACTAGGCACCTACTCTGGCCCAACTGGTACTTGGCTCCTAGATCGGCAAATGTATTCAACTTTCTTGGGTCCATTTAGCTTGCTGTCATCCCTTTTTAGATTTTTCTCTATCGACGCCGTTGTATCTCATGCCTCCTAACACCCGCCAGGCGCTACTGCTTTCATTCTATTTCCTTCCCGTTGCCCATCCTCCCAAGCTTCGATCCTCAACTGCAGTTGCCCAAACGCCCCTTAGAACTGTTATTCATCCAAGCTGGTTTGTCCCCGGTCTACACACACGCTTTCCTCCAACGAAACGGAAGTTATCCATGAGCCTGCATCTGCATGACCCTCTGTGTCAACCCCCGTCTCACACGGAACCAGATGCCATGGAACTGCGTGTCCCTTCTCCGATCGCGCCACCCTTGACGACCGCTACGGGGCTGCCCATAAACCGAATCATGTCAGTGCGATGATGGCATGGCACTGTCATACCCGGTGAGGTGGCTCTCCCGCAACTACTTTCTCCAGAATCTCGAGCGCAAACCCTCGCCCACTCAAGCCTGTAGCCACAACTTCAAGCAGTTCTCATCCGGCCCCGTCTCTGGGACGAGCTCTTCCGTAGACACTGAATTTTCGCTCAGATTAGGCTGTCCTGGCTCTTCTGCTCCAATTTCGGCTTGCCTCTTGAACAAGTTCAAATCCGTATACGGAGTTCAGGTCGCCCTATGTATTAGCAACTTGCCCCCATCCAACATATTCCCTTGCACCTGAGTTCCCTACAACAGTGCAGCCAGTGAGTCTGCTTACTTTCAGAATAAACCACATTTCTGAGACAAAACTTGCCATGAGCTCCCATGGCCAGCAATGGTTTTCAGTTTTAGTTGATGCCACCTGACCGTCTTTGAACTAGTCGGACCTCATGCCCATTATTCCCAGCAAGTTTGGAAATAACCT